TAATGCAATTAATAAAAACAACAAGGTTTGGGTTCGTTCTTCAGATGACTGTGATGTTAACGTGTAAGCTCAATAATGAACTCCAGCTCAACCAACCATATTGTAATATCGAAGTAATCATCTTGAAATATGACATTAATAATTGTAATATACACACATCTTATTGTGAGGTTGATTTCACATACACTACTTCGACGTTAGCTTGTCTACATACTCGAGCATAGCCAATTTAAATTAACCTTAGCGATGCATACAGTTCCTACCTACATAATAAAATATCTCTCTAAGTTACAAGGATGACCTTATTTTATCAACCTCAAACAGAAGCCGTTTGTTCTACAGTATTATCCCACTTAACGCTTAACACTTGTCTATTTCATTTTAACCTTTATATATACAGTCTATGGTTTTAAGTTAACGTGGAGGCTAAGATTAGCATCGTTAGCACCGATGTAGCTACCACTCGCTTACACGCAAACCCAAGCCTTAACATTCATTACGTAGCTGATTGAAATCATAAGCACATAAATAAAGTACTCGAATTTCACTTACCGCAAAACCGCATTCATGCACCGTCTGTTTTAACCGCAGAGCGAGTCACAATAGTCCGATATATAAGCATGAAGAACAAACAAACACGGCCGGGGTCAAGTTGTGTTCCCTGGATGAACTGAGCATGGAGAGTCCCTGTAGCTTCACGGAGACGGAGCAGCTAGCAGAGAGACAAGAAGCTAACAGCAGCAGTCACTTGACAGAGCTGTCACTCAATGCGACCACGCCCTAATTTATGCAAAAACTTTAAGACCTAATATAAATAAAAGGGTCATGTTAGAAAACAATTCACTCACAGATTCATAATCATGAAGGTGGAATCTAACTATATACATAATAATATTTATTGCAGCCAGGGCTAGAAACGTTTTTTTTCTGCTGTGAAATTGGGCATTTTAACATGGGGGTCTATGGAAATTGCTCCTTTCTGCAGTCATCGCCTATCGGCCAATATATGAACTGCAGTTTGTGGCACTACTGTAATAGTGTAATAATACTGTACAAAGAATCAAGAAAGATATTGGTTTAAATAAATGAAGTATTGATTTTAATACACTGCTATACATTACATTAAACAATACTAAATACTAGATCACCTACACATCAGTGAAGTTGAGGGTTTTTTCCATGCAAAGGGTTACTTTCCATGTTGAAAGATGTTAACAAGCAATATGAGTCAGCTTTCTAATTTAATGTATTGAAGGCAAAGATATTTAACGCATAGTGACAACTGCTATTTATCTCTCAATATTGTCTGTAAAAACGTGGTAAAAGTTATTCTTTCAGTGAGACAACAGAGCAAGCTTGTTTTAATAACAGTTAAATATTATTTTGATAATAAAATATATTTCAATGTTGATGAATTTCATACTGTTCATTCATAATCTGATTGTCTTTGTAGCTCACTGTTGAAATTAAAAAAAAACATTACAATTACAAAATAATTATATCTACAGCCCCTAAACACAAACACACCTCTTTCATAAATAACACACTTGTTCTGCAATAATATGTTTTATGCTTCCTGTAATTTTTGTTAGGAAAGGACATGCCTGAAAGACACGACTCAGCATCTCCTCTTTCTCCGAGGGTCAAGAAGAACATCCAAGAGGAAAATTAAAAGCTGATGTTATGAGATGTTAAGAGCAGTACAGGACATTCACTAAGAAACTATTTTTATTGTGAAAACACAGTCAGCTGATCGAACGCACCTATTTCCACATCTACACTCCATCAGCTGATTATTTCTATTTGCCTCACTTCATGAGCTTCACAACATGTACCTTGTACCGCAGAGTTTGCAACGCAAATAAATGGGGCCAATCTTCAGTCGGATGTGAATGTGTAATCTAACATTTTCAGTAAGAATAATGGACAAAAGGAGTGCAAATACAAATTCAATTTATTGAAATGTGAACCAAAAGTTAATCAAACATGTTTTAAATAAAAAGCACATATGGACAGAAGGTGTAAACCTATTAAATGTATAAGTAAACACATTTAGTCAAATAAAGTGACAGACTAGGCCTGATCAGGTGGTATCAGCTATGCATGGGCTCCTCCATCAGGCCTGGGCTGCGTTTCACTTCGGTTAAATGGATTCCTTGCGTCCCTCACTTGCGTCGTTTCCCTGCGACTAGTCCCTCCCACCAGGGAAGCATGGAGAGACGCAAGGAAACCACGAGAAGCAGGGCAATGAGTTTTAAGAGCAATGGGACGTCCTTTCCTCCGGAGCGTCACGTGAAGCGACGTCCGTTTGTGATGATGCCGCACAGCTGATCGCCTGACAGCAGCCAGCTCTGTCCCCGTTATTTTCACAAACACCCCCGCCTCTGTTAGTACACATTTACTGACACAAACATTTGTATCATCTGTTGTAGACAAATAAATAAAATCAAATAAGAACTAATTCTCAAAAAAGATAAACGCCATTCTTAAAATGTATAAACGAATATTAGTTTGATTAATATTGATTAGAGTGCACAATATAAATAAAAGAATTGAGAGAAGAAAAAGAGATATGTTATCTATCAAAACCCAGTTAGATTAACATTCATTGGATTGCACACTTAGTTTGTTTGTGTGGATATGTAGCAAATTAACATGTTAAATAGCACTTAATGACTGACTGAATGGAAATGACAATAAATGAAAATGTAAAACGAAAAAAGCGATCACGAAAATGTTTCCAATAAATGAATGAAATGATTTTTGTCCACTTTGTTGTTCAGATATATCACATATTTGTAACTGAATGATGCATTCATTGAAACAAAACACAGTTTGTACTGAGGGCTGATTCCCGTGAGTTTCATGTGTTTTCTTCACTCCGCTGGGAAACTGCTCTCATGTCAAGAAGCATCAGATCATTGCATGCGCTGCATCGTCCAATCAGTGAGCGATACACAGTAAGGGGGCGGGGCGAGTGTCTGAGGATTTCATCGAAGGATGGTCTGGTGGTTCCTCGATTATAGCTCCTCCATTATCGCTCCTCGCTCCTCGATCCTCGGTCCTCCGGCAAAAATAAGGCCATTGGGACGCTACTCAAGATGGCGCAGACAAATCAACTTCCGGTGAGACCGAGACCGAGGAGCGAGGAAATGAAAGATAAGAGAAGTGAAACGCAGCCCTGGTCCTCCTCACAGAGGAAAGACCCTCAGTCCTCTCCAAACCAACAGACAGGACGTCCATCACACGGAGGTTTCTCCCTGAAGTCTCTGCAGCTCTCTGGACACCACGCTGTCTCAATCCATCCACACTGAATATGAGAGGGGAAAAATGAAAATAATAAATGCTTTAGACTATAAGAAATATAAAGTTGACTTGAGTTGCTCAGTTTTTTTAGATTGTCAATACTATTACTGTATAACTAATATCTCAGGTTAAGAGGCACCTTCAAATAAAGATTGGTCTTTAAATACATTTTGTCTTTTGAATTGTTTGTCTAAAGTCAAGGACCTAGAACTGGTACTTGTAGTTTTAATGATACAGTCTGGTTATAATGCTGTTTGGAGGAGGCCTCACAGGTAAGAGCACTAACTAGCTATCATCACATGTACCTTAGCTTAACTTAAATGTATTAAACGTATAATGGATTTCACTTTCAATTTGAATGCGGAGTGGTTGGAACACGGCCCCAGCTACGGGGAGGCATGGGTAATGAACTCCTTGTGTTCTGCACTTAGAGGATCAAATGCTCCACGCTGTGAAGACATTCAGCACCGCAAGAGGGAGGATTTTCTTTAGCTTCTATAGGCGGTGGATCCTGAGTTTATCCGACCTTTACCGAGAACCACTCACTGAAGAGACCCCTGTTAAACTGGAATTGGCGTTTCTCAATTGGAATTGGATTGCATTCAGGTTTCGCAACTGTTAATTTACTCTGGATGCATTAATCCAGGTACATGTACCAAAATAAGCAGTACTGTATTGGTAGTGAAAATGTTTGGGAGCGTAGGGCAGAATTAGGAGGGAATTCCGTCTCGTAGCGTTTGTGCACTGTTTTGAAATGCCGCTCCTAAATTACCCTTCTTCGATAAAGCCACGCTCGCATTGCAGATGAGACAGATAGACTTTGAATTGGAATAGATACAAAAATAATCATCCTCCCCACTCAGAGTGAAAATTATATATTTTGGGCTCTTTTGCTTTGTGGTCTTGTGTGTGCGGACTGCACAGCAAACTAGTGCCCACTGCCCACTGCCTACCAGCCACGCCCCGATACATGGGGTCACGCCACAAAGCTTTGATGCGTTCAAGTGCATTATTCTGGCACAGGAAGATTATGTTATAGGACATTAACGATAAAACAGAATATTGTTGTTCTATTTTTAGACACATCTCGCGATCGACTGAAACACAGAGGATTGTTTGTATGATGGGATCACAGACACGCTGCAAACGGTGTCCGCCAAAAGTCGAGTCCAGTGTCTATGTAGTGTCATTTTTATTTGTTATAGTTTGGGAAGATTGAAAATCGGTAGGGAGAGTCAGCTAAATCGGTAGGCGGTAGAAACATGTCAAAAGCGGTAGACTACCGCCCAAATCGGTAGGGTTGGCAGGTATGTAACAGTAGTTAATGAAATAAAGCTCATTGGTGTGTTTATCCTATGCCGAATTATGCAGTTTACACTCTGGATTAAGAAAGCACTGTTTTAATATTTGTGGCGGTGAGAACTTTTTATAAAAAAGAGAAACAAATGTAAAAAGTGAGATTTTGTTAATGGACTTTGGTTTGGCGATTCCCGACCACACAGTATTACTGCATGTTTTGTGGATGTATTACTGTTGAAACAATGCATAATGCACATGAACTACATTTGAATATCATAGGTTGCTTCTTTTGTTTTATACAGTATTTTGTGTTTTTTCTTGCATGTTCTTCAGAGACCAGCGACAGCAGCTCCTTTCTGCACACACTGGTCTCAGGCTGACACCTGGTGGTGAGTTTGTGAAACTGCACTAGCATTTTTTTTAATGTAAACAGGAAGTAGCAGAAAGCAGGAACTATAACATTTTAGAGTTTATTCACTTAAATAAAAGTCAGATCAGTTGTACAAACATGTTTTGGGAATGTTTTCAGGAACCTTGTTAGTTAAACTGTAAATGTGTACATAATATGTCCTGTCTGTATGTGTTTCAGTGTACTCCATTCAAGGCAGATGTTGTCATGCAGACCAAAGACCTCTTCCTATTCCCTTCTAAAGCCTCTAAAATAATGAAGCTGTGCTCCAACATGATCCAATACATGAAGCTTCAGCTGTATCCTCCACATTGTTCCTTCTTCTTCTTCTTCTTCTTCTTCTTCTTCTTCTTCTTCTTCTTCTTCTTCTACTCCTGCTTGATTTCTTTACACACAGCTTCTGTTTTCAGGCTTGTTTCTGGTTGTGAAATTCACCCAAACTGTGTCTCTCTTTCCGCTCAGGCTTGATCTAACAGCAGCTCAGCAGCTCCAGGAGTCCACTGCCTGACGCCTGGAGCTGAAATCCTCCGTCTGTGTGGATCAGAGGAGGTTGTTGCTGCCGTGAACGTCTGAGTGGAAGAACAGAAGACATGTGGGTGTCCGTGTGCCTCCCCCACCCCCGTCTGCCTCTGTGGAATGAATGGAGGAGGAGGAGGGGTGAGTAGATCTGGCTGTGTGACGTGAAAGCGCTCTGCATAAAGTTCCCATGAGCCCTAGCAGTTCCTCAACAGGTCAGACTGGACCTAACGTGGGTCAGAGCCGGTCCTGAGGAGTCTTTTAAGGTGCCAGACTCACAGCATTAGCATTCAGACCTCCGCATGCTGTGTTTTATGCCCTTTTAAAGCCATTTAAAGCCAGTGTTTTGCTCCTTTTTAGCTGTATGTGTTCTGCTACCCCAAGACAAGGATCTTCATGCTCAAAGACCTATATTAACCCCTCAGATACAGGTTGTTATTGTGTTACTACGGTAGCACATATAATAAAATTGGAACGATACAGAGAAGATTAGCAAACTCTCACCTGGGGGTCCGGAGCCCGTCGTCCAATCGGATCAGAGCCCCTCGGATCAATTAAAGCCAGTGTCCAGTGTACCAACCGCCCAGATCCCCCCCCACCCCAAATGCTCTTTGACACCCCCTGCTGGCTGCATGCTTGATATGACAAAGAGATGTTATGAAGTTGTGAAAAGAAAGAAATAAGCAGTCAGAGATATTCAAGTTTAAAAATACCTTTTTATTTATTTACAAGTTTTACACTTTATGTATTTATGCTTTATGTATTTATGTATTTTATGTTATGTTGTGTTATAAAGTTTTACACTATGTATTTATGTATTTTATGTTATGTTGTGTTATAAAGTTTTACACTATGTATTTATGTATTTTATGATTGCATTGCGGCGGCTGCGGTGGCCTCCTCCTTCTTCTTCTTTCTATTGACCCTCTGTCGGTCCCTCAACAGTTCCTTCTCTGTCCGCCCTCCCCTCAACTCTGTGAGCCACTCCTCCACCGTGCGGTGCTGGAGGTCAGAAACCTGGCAGAAACTCTGCCTCGTCGGGCAGTGGAAGCTATGACCCGTGGCCCGGATCCTTCTCTCGCCGCATTGCGTGCAGGTCCGGCTACGCCTGTTAGGGAAGACACCGGCTGCAGCAGAGGCCATCTTTATCTTCGCCCTCCACCCTGTGGTCTTTGGGACATTGACCTTCAGCCACTGGTCCAGGGTCAGTCCAGAAGTTGCACGGCAGAAGGTCTTGCCTTGGATGGAGAAGTGCTCAATGACAGAGATGTCCTTGGAGCAGCCAGGACAAACGCGTGGTGGGGGATCTACACACACACACACACACACACACACACACACACACACACACACACACACACAATGAAAGTGCAGTCAACATCAAACAATATAAACATATATAACATAATGTAATCAGCACCTTCATGCTCTGATTTTGAGATAGTTTTTTTTAACAGAGTGTGTCTACATGTGTTCTGGTGATTTCCTAACCTTCTCTCTTCTTGTTCGTCTTGTTCGTCTTGTTCGTCTTGTTCGTCTTGTTCTTCTTCGTCTTGTTCTTCTTCTTCTTCTTCTTCTTCTTCTTCTTCTTCTTCTTCTTCTTCTTCTTCTTCTTCTTCTTCTTCTTCTGCTGCTGCAGAGGTGTTGGTTCTGCATTAGGAGCAAATAGGAAGAAATGGTTTGAAGTTAACAGTACATTATCACCACCTTCATACACTGACAGTGAGATGTTTTTCTCAGAGAAATTAGGGACATCTTGTTTTGATCGTAAACAAATAAATAAAAGAAACATAATAACCGTGTTTACTTTTTGCAAGCACTGGGGGCCAGAAAGGTTTGCAGTACTTGAACCTCTTGGGAATCCTGTAGGAGCAGGGGAGGCCTTCCAGAGTTCGATTGCCCTCTCCAAGGTTGTTTTTGTCTTATCTGCAAGAGGACAACAATCAAACAATAGTAAAACAGTGGAGTTATTGGAGCTGCACATATCAACATCACAGAGATACAGGAGAGGGTCAGATGAGCACAGATCACTTACCCATAGCTGTAGCCAGACTAGACTGTTAGAAGAAGGAGAGATCCTGCATTTCTGTACATCTTGCTCAAAGGTGTGAAATCTTTCATCCAATCAGATCAAAGACCTGTGGATCGCCCCGCCCTCCTGACCCCGAGATGAGCCATCAGGTGAACAAAGGAAATCCTGCCTCCTGCCAGGACACCCTAACGAACGACTCTTTCACACCCACAGTCTCTGGACTGGTGTTCTTTTGTATTTATGCGTGTCATCCTCTCAGCAGGGGTCTTGAGAAGGTGATGGGCTGCAATCTGCCCCCCCTCCACGACCTGCAGTTACCCTGCCACTTTATAGACTGCATTACAGTAATGCACACAATGTTCCTACTCCTTTCTGCACATATTGTGACTTCACATTTCTTAGTTTATATGCAAACATTCATAGCATTCTATTTCCATGTAAACGACTGCTTTATTTATCTTATTGCTATTTAACTGGATTTTATTAGGGTGTAAAAAAGATGTTGTGTTTGATATTAGATTTCTTGTTGATGTATGCACCATGACATCAAGTCAAATTCCTAGTATGTGTGAACCTACCTGGCAATAAACCTGTTTCTGATTCTTATGTTACTAATTACATATTTATGTATTATGTGTATTTTCAATGCAGTGTTTTTATCTGTATTGTTCAAACTATTTAAAATAAAGTTTTCTAAAAAAGCCAAAGGACATCTCCTTCATTTTTGAAACCTTCTGAACTTCAGTTGAAGTGCAACAACAGCAGAGGAAGACAGCACGAGTGTTGGAAACTAGAGGAAGTCAATCCAAACAGATATTTCAGTTTGAACTATTTATTTGAAAAATATATTTACATCATCTACAGCATGTTATTGTGTCCAGTGTCATTGGAGGGAGTCCAGCCACTCCTCAGGGCTCTTCCATTGAGCCAGAACAGGGCAGTAGCTGACTCTGTCCCCGCTCGCCTTCACCAGGCCTTCTTCATCCTCCACCCTGCCTGTCATATCCCTCTTCCTCTTCCTCCTCCTCCTCCTCCTCCTCCTCCTCCTCTTCCTCCTCCTCCTCCTCCTCCTCCTCCTCCTCCTCTTCAACAGTCACCTCCTCGCTGTCATCGGGATCATCAGGGAGGGGCTGCAGAACCTTTCCCGTCTGATTGTACAGGTAGCTGATCCCGATGAGCTCACCTGAGGAAGAAAAGAGTAACTAGATTCTTAATATCAGTTGTTCTTCACCTTGTTCTGATGTTCTCAAACAGGAACCTTCCAGAAGCATCGGCTCTGAGTCTGAAGTATCACCTGTGTACTGCAGCGGCTTCACGTGGCTCTCCACCATCGTGGTGTGGAAGAACTGCTGCGTGAGCTGGTGGAGAGTGTACTGCTGCTGGCCGCAGTAGCAGTTGATGCCGGCCCCCCCCGCTGCCGCCTTTCCCCGGTCCTCGTTCCACCTCGTGAGCCCCTCCAACAGGAACATCTGGAGGAATGTCCCCCTCGCAGAGGAGCCTGCAACATGACACACAAACGTCAGGGTTTTACACCCAGGGAGAGAGAAAGTGTAAAACTCTTAGAGCACGGTGCCTCACCCGGGATGAACCTGTGGAGGTGCAGGTGGAAGGACTCCAGGGACGTGGAGCCGCGGGCACAGCGGTAGACGGGCAGAGACACCCCCCCCCGGGTCAGCTGTCCCGTCTTGGTGTACAGGCGGAGACCAGCAGGATCCTGAAGGGGAGAGGCTCTGATTATTCAGTGTCTGAATTCATGTCTGAACATGAAACATGTTGAATTGTTTCCTGTAAGAGCTGTACCTGAATGCAGGGGATGTGATGCCTCTGTGTCTTCAGGATCTCCTCCATGCGGCGTCGGTCCAGCAGGGGGACGTTCATGGCATCGGTGGCCCCCTTGAACGCCTCCACCGCCTCTCCAAGGAGACGCTCGGTCTCCTGAGCCCCACGCGTGCGGCGGCGGCAGTGCCGACCCAACTCCTTGCTGGACGGCGTCCTTCTGGACCCGCCCGCCTGCAGGGCCGTCTCCAAGAGGGACAGGTCCTCCGGGTCCCACTCGAAGATGCAGCTGGAGAGACGCTGCATGAACTCGGGGTAGAGGAGGTGGCTCTCGGAGGTCACACCTGCTGACAGTCGGCGTATAAAGTGCCAGATGTCCAGCCTGACAGCCAGGCGTGGCCAGGCGGGGAAGAGAGCAGCTGCAGCGCAGGTGGCTTCGTCCCTCCGGCAGCAGTCCCTGTCCACATACAGGACCTGTGGAGGCTCCTTCCCTGCCAGCTGGTACCGGTCCTGCAGGCCCTGCGCCATGTCTCTCAGGCCGTAGCCCTCAGCGGCCGTCAGCACGGACATCAGGACCTGCCCCAGCTCGTTCCCCACGCTGCTCATCCACAGAGCGGTACCAGCGTCTGCTCCCGCCAGCTTCTCGGTCACCTGTGTCAAATGATCATATAATCATTTAAAAAAAACATATAGTCTTATACTCTGATTGCCTTTTACACTGTTACATTGTATTGTTAGTCTTGAATCATTTATCAGTTTCTCTTAAGACGTTCCTCCACAACCTGCAGGGGAGAAGAGGGTCTCCTCCATCAGTCAGGGTGCAGCCATGACACCTACAGTGTACATAAGTAACATTACATTTCTCACCTTCTTGGTGGAGCCCATTTTGAGAATGGAGCCAAAGGTTGAGGTCACCTTGGCCTTCAGCTCCTCGATCCTCGTAAAAGACTCCAGGACGAAGGTGGACAGAAGCCAGCCGCTGCTGGGGACAGGCACCATCTGTGGTGGAGGCTGAGGAGGTGGCATCTGCACACCTGCAACCACAAACTTCCTGCAGGTGTTTAAGTAGTGGATGCTCCTCGTCATCCACTCTGCCGTGTGCTGCTCCACGAGGTAGGAGTGCAGCCGGCTGGCGCTGTTGCCCAGCGTGCGCACCTTCATCTGAGCCAGCACACTCCGGTCACAAGAGAGCCTGCAGCACAAACACAGACGCAGAGGTGAACACCAAACCATCTCAATGTCCTTCAAACACCACTATGTCCAACAGCGTGATGTTTACCTGTAGGTCAGCACAGCAGGGAAGAGCAGCTGGTGGTCCAGGTCCAGCTGGCTCCTGATGTTCGCTGCCCAGCCGGCACACTTCTTTTTGCAGGAGCTGGGACAGAAAGGTGTATTGGTGTATCTGCTACTGCTACTTATAGTTATAATCATAACAAAAAGTACTTGTATTATTTTACAATGTCTATTTAACCAAAGCATCAAGCACACAGAGTATGCTTGTAAATGTATCAGTACCTGCACTCCAGGTACTCCGTCCCCATGTAGTACCAGCCGTTGGTGTCCAGAACTCTGCGCACGGTCTTGTAGAGACCACTACCCGTCATCTTGTGTGCGCAGCTTGGGCACTTCAGGTGGTACTTCCACATTTTGTTAGGCGCCCAGAAGAAGAAGGGCCGCTGGAAAAAAGCATCTGGGGAGGAGGGCCGCTGGGAGTACTTCAGCCGGGGGCCGGGGGGGGTGGTGCCACAGCTGATAGTCCGTGGACAGGACGGGCCACCCTGACTTGTAGCCCACAAACAGAGCCCTGCTGACCCACTCGTGCTGCTCTGCAGGGAGGCTGCTCCTCCAGGCTGCCGGCAGGACCAGCTGCAACACACACACAGGTCACTGAGCTGCAGCTTCACACTACACACTGATACTAGATGTTTACAACAACATTATTACAGACCTGAGGGGGAGGAGCGACGAGTTGAAGAGGAGGTGGTGCCAGAGCTCTCTGCTGCTGGGCAGGACGAGGAGGCGGCGGAGGAGGAGGAGGAGGAGGAGGAGGAGGAGGAGGAGGAGGAGGAGGAGCAGATGCTGTGCACAGCAGAAAAACACACTTGACATACCAAATAGATTTTATTATACAAAGCTTAATAATGACTCGAAGCACAGACTTACCTGAAGCAGCCTCCACCTGAGCCGCTGCCTCCACCATCAGATGGCCGTCTTCGTCCTCGGAGGAAGCTGCAGACACAATTTAAAAAATGTTCACTCATCACACATCACCTGACTGACAGTAACACTCCACTGACATGATACATACACAGGAGCACTGGCTTTCTCTTCCTCCGCTGTTTGGGGGGAGATGTAGTGGAGGGGGAGGACGGTTGATCCATTGTTCTGAAATCACATCAAACACACGTCAGAAGCTAGCAGGCAAGTACTTCACAAGTACATGTGAAGTACAGCAAACACCTTGAACCTTTAACCTAGTTAGCATACAAACAAAGCCTCTCTTTGGATGAGATGGACCTTTGAATTCAGGTGTTAAACAGGAAGAACAGTCTGAAATAGAATAGAAATAAGAAAAATAACATGAGTAAAAGCTGGTTCTGATTGAAAAGAGAATGCTATCTTAGTGCTATCATGTAATAATGTTAGACAACACTTTTCCATCAGCTCAACAGTAACCTCAGAGGTCTGACTTTAAATGAATGATGGCCTTCATATAAATGTTAACTTTAGTTATTACAGTACTTCATTAAATAGCCAAGTGTCTATGACTGTTAACCCTCCGTCCACATCTGTGAACGGAGGTAAGCATTAACTTTATGAACATATACGTTAGTGCAAAGTAAAAAGCGTTACGTGTTTGCATCTCGCAAAGTGCAGGAGCAATGCATGTTGTTGCCGCAGTTCTAAGACTGTACATGGCGGAGTGGCAGCTTTTAATCACGAATGGTGCATATAAATGTTAACTTCATAAACGTTAGCACATAGTAATAAGCATTAAATGACAAGTATTTACGGATTTCAACGGCCAGAAAGCTCCGGTGTGTTGCCGGCGTAAAGCCTCGGTTTAGCGGAAACTTTTTACCAATGCGAATATGCGCGAACGTTAAAAGACAACACATTGGCATTCATCTACTGTAATAGCAGAGGACAACAAATACATTCCCATTCATCTGTTACTGTTATATTACATTATAACGGACTGTCTTACCTTTTCAAAAACCGCTCAGTTGTGAATGAAGCCTGGAAACTTTGAGTGAAAACTCCTCCCCGCTCCTCCCCGTTTCAATGAAACGTCAGTGGGACAACCAATGGGTGGACACAAGATTAAAGTGGGAATGCCATAAGAAATGAACGGGAGGGGCGGGGCTAAAGTGGGACTGAGCAGCCCCGATTATCCTCGCCCCCTGGGCGCAAGGATGACACGCAAATTCGTGAAGCGTTCTATATTGCCATATTTTATCATATTTTATCATATTTTAATGATTTTATATGATTTTTCAAACATTTGATTTAGGCGACACAGCGCCACCATGGCCGCTGGTGGTATTGCAGCTGCCGAGTGGAGCCTCTCACTGTGTTCAACGCTTTCCCTTCAATCTCTTTATCTCTTAAAAACTACAACAAGACAAGATCAAATATGGACTTTTATGACTTTATTGTCCTCGGGTGTGTATATCTAAGTGTTTCCTTTAGACTCAAAGGTTGAGGTTCACGTTTCTGCTCGCAAACTTCACTTAATCTAGTTATTTCTTACATGTATTTATTTAAGTGTGTTGTTTAAAAAACATCGTGTACACATCTACTCGGAAAGGTAAAGCTAGGACTCTGTTTTCACGGGAAACCATGAATTCGATTCGCCTTCAAACTGATATTTTAAAATTGTGCGGTCAACACGAGTTTCCATATTTCCCACAGCATTGAACGCACCACC